GTGAACTGCCCAGAGTCCCCCATTGGGGGGAGATGGGCGGGGGAGAAATTTAATAAATAAAATAGTGTTGGATTGCAGGTTAGAGGACAGACTGGAAAGAAAAATATCTGATTTTAAGAATCTCTTCTTTATTATGTTTTTAATCAAGCAGCACTTGGAACTTTGTTGGCACTGAGCAGATGTTGTATTCAAAGCCCCTATCTTCTTTTATGCTGTCTCTTGCTTTCTTTTCTCAACTTACATTAAGCATTGTCTCTTATTATATCATTTTTGAAATTAGTTTTTTTGCATGCTGCAAAAGATCAGGGTCTCTCTGTATGCCTTGCTTACATGCATTTAAGCAAACCCTTTTTTAAAAATTCATCATGCTTTAACATTCTATACAATTTTCCTTATGTAAAGTCCCATTCTAATCAAAGGCATCCTAAGTAAAGGAAACCAAATTTGGGTTTTCGCAATAGCTTTGCCAGTTACATTAGTAGAAATATTTGTTGAAACAAGCCCATTAGGATTGCTTCAAATTTGACTTCCTCTCTTCTGTTAGCAAAAAATAGATGCCAAAGTGTTATTAGTAGCAGAATTTCTCTCCTTACTGTACCTGATACAAACTGTAAACTTTTGATTAAACTTCTGCTGTACCAAATTTCAGATTCAGTCCATGAGATGCGCACGCTGGTAGATACGGTCGCTTCCGAATCTAGAAATGGCCACCCAACAGACCTGACAGTAAGGTACTATGCCATCCTTTATGAGACTAAGGGCAGAACCCAGTGGCAAGTTTCTTGGGAAACGGTTTTGCTTAAAACTGAAGCTTTTTACTGTAAAACCTTCCTCGAGAATCAAAAATCCTGTAGCACCTGAAAACTATAAGGTTAATTATTTCAACTTTGAGGAACTAGAATTTATTTCACCAGGTTGGCAAAATATCCTCACTTATACATATTGATGTTTGGGTGGCAGAGGTCACAGCATAGTTGAATAGCGGTGAAATGTGAAATTTATGGATGCCTATGAATTAAAAACACAAATGCTCTTTTTGAGTATTTACTTTCCTGAGGTGAAAGATAATTGAATAAAAGAGAAATTGGGGATGAAAAGAAACTGAGAAGAAAAGAGGATTTTTATAATATAAGAGTGATCAAAGTCTTTGAAAGACAATGTCTTGAAGCATCTATTTGACTCCAAAAAGTCTTTATATCTGAAAAAATCCAGGAGAGGAAGAGGAAGGCTGTTGGTAATGCCCAGGGACCAAGCTGCTGCTGCTGCTCACAGCAAACAGCATCGTCCCTTGACGTGCTAGTTAAATGTTTTTAGAAACAAGCAGCAGAACTTGAACTTGCCTGGAAATTCTTCTCTTTGCCTGGGGAAAAGTTGAATTTGTCACTCATGGAGACTCAGAAGACTCCAGAACTTTCATAAAGGAAACCTTTCTAGTGCAAAAAAACCCAAAACCCTTTCCCTCAAATCCTGATTCTGATTTCCTGATACTTTTTGAATTTTGATTAACATTGTTTTGTTGAAAGTTAATCTGACATACTTCTAATAAAAAATAATAACAATTTACTTGAGGAATTTACTTCTGTGGGTTTAACAATGGCTGTAGCGTGGAGATTACAATATTTGAAATGGGACTGGATAAAGTCAAGGAAGAGAAGGCTACAGGTATTAGGCACAAAAGCGAATAGAAGACAAGATACTGGGGATGGAGCGACTGGTTTCATGCTCTGTTTCTTTATGGTGTCCCAGGTTGTGCAGGGCTCCAGAAAAATCCTGATGAAGAGTGTCTTTGGGGTTGTTGCTTCTTTGTTCCCACATTTTGCACTGACTTTTTTTTTTTTTGGTCATATGCCTACCCTATACAGGAACTACGCCAAACGGAGTCAGAGCACAACCCAGAGAGTTAATCTCAACCAGTGGGTTGACCGTAACATGCGCAACATCGGCCGGTTTGATGGAATCCCTGATCACTTTAAGCGCAGCCCGATCCTAAGCTAGAAGACATTTTTATTCGAAGTTGCTCTTTGAATGTTTAGCTGCTGGCAGTTCAATTTATTTAGTGTTTTATGTGTTCCTACTAATGTTAAGGCTAGTTTAATGTTTTTGTTTTTATTACAAATATTTGTTCACTTTGTCCTGGACCTTTTTCACGGCTAAATATTTGTTTTAGAAATTTTGTTTTTTTACTAGTCTATTTGATATTGTACCTTGAATATGTTATAAATGTTTGTTTTAAAATTCTGGGACCTATTACCCTTTTTCCTCTTCTGTGCTTACTAGTTGACTGTCCTGTATGTCCAGATTAATTGCATACCTGCTCCATTTTTAGAGATTTGATGGAAAGTCTAAACACACTGATTTTAGTGTTATACAACGACAGTGAAGAACAATGGCACCAGTTCAGATTTCATAGGCAAACATCTCATGTTCCTTCAGATACAGGACTTTTAATAGAGGCCACTCACACATTCAACTGCTAAGGTTTGAGGTTACAAGTAAATGAAGGAAGTAGCATTGGATGAATTGGAAAATCATTCACCCTTTCTTGAAATGCTCATGTGTATTGGGGATCATCCAGCACAGTTGGTTTTAGAGGATTGCTCACAATGTAGAAGCCTTTTGTTAGGACATCATTCCCTCTAATATCAAAACTGAGTTGTTGCAAGTAAAGTAATGGCTGGTGCATATTTAGGGCAGGTGTGTGTTCATTGCCTCTGCTAGTGAATGTTGTCGCTTAAAGAGGGAGGCTCATCAACCTTAGGCACGTGCTTACATAATGTATTATTTTGCTAAGAAAGCAGGCATTTCTTGCTCTTTCTGTCCTCCAGCCAGCTGTACAACTGAAGTCAAACCCTGGCCTCTCTTGAACTCTATGTGCTTTTACAGGAAACAGTGAAGGATAGAAATAACAGGGGAAAATCCCCATTTCTGTTCTCCAGGTTAATATAGTTGAGAAAAAAATAGATCTCCCCAGTCTTTGAGTAAGTACAGAAGCTTCAAAAGAACAACTCTTGAACGGTTTGCAAAATGGTCTGGTTCTAGAAAGAAAGCAAAAATGACAGTACCTTGTGACAGAAGAGCAGGCATTTATTTTTCTGCTTGTCTCTTTCAAAAGTTCCAGCAAGTGGAGCAGAGGCTTGTTAAACTTAAGCATTTGATGGAGAGTTCCTGGTGTGGTTCTTACCCCTTTATATAGACCAAGACCTATATTGTTCTGTAGCTCACTGTACTTGCCAGAGGAAAACTGCCCTCTTGTTTCTACAGTTTTTTTATTTTTATTTTTGCTTTTGAGTCATTGACGACTCCTGGTGACTGCCTGGACTAGTCCCTGCAGTTTTCTTGGCAAGGTTTTTCAGAAGTGGTTTGCCATTGCCTTCTTCCTAGGGTGAGAGAGTGACTGGCCCAAGGTCACCCAGCTGGCTTTATGCCTAAGGCAGGACTAGAACTCACGGTCTCCCGGTTTCTAGCTTGGTGCCGTATCCACTACACCACACTGGCTCTTTCCCTTCTACAATTTAGAGAAATTTAAAAAGTGAAAAGCTTTTGGCCTTTTTTAGTATTTCCTTATTTCCAGCAGAATTTGGGGAAAATGGTCTACTGCATATGCAAAAAGATTTGGGATAAAACTGGTATCAAGAATAAAGACTGCCTAGATCTTGTGCAGATATACTTGTCCTGTGTATCGCACTTTTTGTAACTCAGAGCATGTTTCCTACTAGTGGTTTAAAAAAAAAACTACAAAAAGTTGATATACAGGATTGCTGGTACATACTTTTTCTCCTGGCTAGAAAGGGACAGTTGCCTGGTTTTTGGTTTATAGCCATACATACAAACTGATTTGTAGCAAGTCTCCTTGGAGAAAGGCAGAAACTTCCTTGATCTTAGTTTATTCAACTATAATAGTTGAAGTAGCTAGTTTGAGTAAACTAACTACTTTCCATGAAAATGAACACTATATTTTAGTGTTATATATGAGATTGGTTGGCAACCAAAGAAGGGAGCAATGGCGATACAATGCTAGAGAGGCATTTGGTGAGAGGAAGGCAAAATGAAAATGTAAGGTCAAGAGAAAGAAGTTACTGGCTTACCCAAGAATGTAATATAATATTAACACAAAGCAACTTGTCTCATTGTGGATGGGGAAGTCTCAAGCAGGAAATAAATAGTTAAATGTACAATCAGTTCTGGAGACCTGAGCATGGTGTGAATCTTCTTGGTCTACTGAAAAAGAAATTTGACAGCTAAGAGAAGGGTGGGCCCACATACAGTTCCCTGCTACCAAAATTATGTGTGGTATATTCACATTCAAATGGAATAATTCTTAACCTTGCTGTTATTCCTCTTATCCTTCACTGAGCTTTCAGTTCAAAAGCTATAACTTCCAGGCTGTCTGCTTCAGATATGCCAAGGCTCTTAATTAAAAATTGAATTTTCCTACAGAAATCCTAAAAATAAGGTGGTTCCTGTCATTGGCTCCAATAGGCAGGACTAAAAGCAATGTTTGCCTGGCTCATGAGTGCAGATCTGTGGAACTCCATCCTTTTTCTCATTCAGTGTCACCGGCTCTTTGAAAGGAGAGGAAAGCACAGCCCTTCCACTGGGCACTTCCAAAACAATTCAAATGGACAGACAGGCACTTTCGTGGCTCAGCCCACAACTGGTGGGAGTCTCAGGAGCTGTAACCTCTGCAAAAGCAGCTTTCCCCCATTTCCTTGGGAACCTCAGCAGGGTGATCACTCTGGTCTTAGCTACAGCAGATCTAGTTAGTGGTGGACTCACCTCTATCCCCAATAGAGATGAGATCCCTGGAGGAACTACCAATGCGAGTTGCTGGCACACACGTTTTTTAGTTCTTGAACATTGGCTTTCAAGGCATGTGCTTGAGGTGTCTGCCGTTTTGCAGTGGTGCCAAAATGATGTGTGGGTTCCTCAAGGGAACCCAAGACCTCTTGGCGGCAGCAGAATTACAGGAGGCCAGGTGGAATTCACTTCTCTCCTTTTTGACAGCTCAGTGCATCACCTTGGGCTCTGCAAATAAATCAGGGACGCTGTCTTTACTGAGTGTGGCTGCTGCGTCCCAGGACTATTGTCCATCTTGGCTGCGGAATGACTTTCTTTCTTCCCATTCTCATTACTGATCAGGGCTAATGCTGGACTGAAAACTTGGCAGCACCAGCCTGATCTGACCCTACTCCGAAGCAGAGGGAGTATGGCACCTTCTCCCATCACTTAGAGGCAGAGAAAAGGGATACAGTACAGTAATGGTTTGTGAGCATCTGGCCTGAGAGTACAGATTTGTCTCCACAAAACATAAAATAAAATCCTTGGTGTAAAGGTTGCATGGTAGACAGGCTGCTTATTTCAAGATGGTACTGTAGTGAAATTTCCTCAGAATATCAAAGGTTAGCACCCATTCTCTCCCCGGTTCTCAGAAGCATGAACACCAAGGGAAACAAAGAGGGTCAGAAGTTTTCCTTATAGAATTCTAGGGTTGGAAAGGACCTTGGAGGTCATCTAGTCCAGGGTTCCTCAACCTTGGTGACTTGAAGATGTGTGGACTTCAACTCCCAGAATTCCCCAGCCAGCATATGCTGGCTGGGGAATTCTGGGAGTTGAAGTCCTCACATCTTCAAGTCACCAAGGTTGAGGAACCCTGATCTAGTCCAACCCCCTGCCCACTGCAGGAATCCTCATACTAACCCAAACAAGGGGCTGTCCAATCTTCGTTTGAAACCCTCCAGTGATGGACCCTCCATTACTCTAGGAGCTAGGGTGTTCCACTTCTCCTAATTCTGACAGAGAATTCCCCCTAATTTCAAATGTGGATCTCTCTCTCTGCTAAGCTTCCACTCGCTAGTTCTTTTCAGGACAAAGTGTGAGGAAACCAGTTAGGCCATTAAATCCCGGCCTTTTTCTGAGGAGATCCACTTTTGCCTTCTCGCGCAGAAAAGCAAAGGGCCGTCGGAGCTTCTCTCCTCAACGAACGTTTTCCCGCCTTTTTCGGTCTCCAGGGTCAACAGCCGGCGAGTCTGCTCAGCCCTGTGATTGGCTGCAGGCAACAAGAATGACCAATGAGAGCCCTCTTCCTGCACGAACGTTCTGTTCCCACGCTGCTCCGCTACTTCGAGGGAAGGAGCCAGAGGAGAGAGGAGGCGGCTGGGAGGGTTTGCGAGGAGATAGCGGAGCACGTGTGAAACACCCGGGCAAAGGGAGTGGTTCTCCAAGGCTGCCAATGCAGGAAGGCTGAGCCGCCGCTGGTTCTCCTAAAGGAGAACGGCCCCCAAGGGACCTTGGGGGTCATCTAGTCCAACCCCCAGGGCAGCGCAAGGCGGCTCGATCAGGACCCTCCCTCCCAACCGCAGCCAGAGATTCAGACGGTCTTTCTAGGTTGGCAGGTACCTCTACGGTAAGCCAAAGCGAGAGCGGAGGAGGTCTCTTCACAGCGTGGATGGAAGCACACAGTTCGTCCCGTGGATGAGGGGAGGGAGGGGAGGGGAGGGGAGGGGGCGAGGGGTGGGGAGGAGAGAGAAATCAAGACATGCAAGTGAACTAAGAGAACTGGAAAAGGCTGGTACCTTCAACGGGTCGGCCAGATTCGAGGATTTTAGTATTTCAAATCTGCTGCACCTGATCCTTCCCTGATAGGGAATGCCTGATGCCCGTGGTTTGATGAGAAGGGATGGCAGCGATGCTTCTACCCTTAATAACAATTAACCGGGAACCAATCTGAATAAAGAAGGGGAACTGGATGCTGCTGTTTCGTTACACTCGGAGGAAATGCAAAAATTAATTTATTAATTAATAACTTGCATTGATGCAGAACCTCTCTAGCAGTCCAGTTGAAGCCTCAACCACTGCAAGTTAAAAAATTAAGGATCCAACTCTCTAATTTTGAAACTCCAAGCATCCAATCTACTGTATTATTATATTTGGTTCTTATTTTACAATAGTAAGTAATTTAGTGTTGACTTCCTGGTGAATCCTCAGTGGAAGCTGTCTGGCCTCATGGCTCAGCTTGGCTTGAATTTGGCTAGTCTCTCAGAGGTATGGCATGGTTAGATAATAATCTTTATTGCATATTAGGATGAAGCCATTAAAACAGTTGATTGCCATCTGTCAGTGAGGATGCAAATTCTCTCTTATACCCTTGGGCAGTTCAAATTGATTGCCTCATCAATCCCTTGCATTTAAATGGACTCTTTGTATTGCACTTCATAGCCTTGAAACTGATCAGGAAGCTCAGCAGTTGTTGATTGGTTAGTAATTGATATCTCTGTCCTGAGAACTGCTGACACCTAGATTATAAGTAAAGCAAAGCTTAAAGCAGCCTAAAGGCATTTCCCCACTATTGAATTACCAGTTGGCACAAAAAAGTTGCCATAAAATTTTGTTGTCCCCATCGCCTGTCTCTGTCATCTCTGTTCCAAGTCACTTCTGAATCATATTGCTCTGGTTTGTGAGTGAGCTACTCATTACAGGCAAGGTGGGGGGACTTAATCTAATTGTGCAGCTGTCTCTCTTCAGTACTAATATACCTTTATTGTAAGGTTATAGTAACAAAACCTTGCAAGTCTGAAAGCACCTCCCCCCTCCCTTGCCTTTACTTTCCAGAGAACTACGGAGGATCCCTTCTGAGACACTTTCTCCACCCCCATTCCTTCTTGTGGGCTGAGATATCTCTTGTCAGTCCATTGCCCTGGCTGTGGCTCTTCCTCCTGTCTCCTGAAGTTATTCTCACAGCCCATTATATACACAAACTCTTAAGATTTTACCTATCTTGGAGCTGTGGTCAGTATCAGCTTAAAAGGCAAACATTTACTTTTATTCCAGTTCACTCAATGACAATTTAAAGTTCCCTCGCAAGATGGGGATGAGACAAGGAAAGTGTTGTGTGACCAAGGAAGAAAATTGGAGTTGTCAGGGTGTGATAGTGCCCTGGTAAACTTGGGATAAGACCTAAGTTACTACGGGGAATTTTCAACCTGTAGGACAAACCCACCTGGCATTCTTTGTGCAGCCTGCTGAGCAACTGTGCAATTGAAAAAAATGGTGGCTCATGGAGCATTTTTCTGAAATGAAAATGGAGAAAGGAGATTGATTGATTTACAATATATAAGGACATCAAACTCTGTAACAACTGGCCAGTTACAATATGGTTTCATCATACAATATAATTAACCCTCCCCTCCAAAAATGCCAGCAGAAAAGCAACCATTAAAAGGCAATCAAATACACTACCCACTTTAACCCAAGGCCTGGGAAAAGGGCTAGGTTTCCAGAGTTCTTCTTAACAATGCCAAGATAGGGGCCAGTCGT